TTTTTTTTTTTTTTTTTTTTTGGAATTCACTTTCCATGAATGAGCATTTTCAGTAATTGATTCTTTTTTGGGCCTGAAAAGGGTTTATTAAATAGAACTTGTGTCCAAAGACTCAAGCAACTTTCAGCACAGCTTGTCCATCCACAGCCTTTTCACCAAGAGGTTTTACAGGAACACTGATGAGTGCCAAAGGAGCACGGCAGGCTCACCCATCGTGCGGCTGTCGAGTCGGTGTGCCAGCAACGACACTGGGTTAGTCCCTAGAGCTCCCCCCAGTAATAGCGTGACCCTGCCACTGAAAGTGTCCAACCCAAGACGCTTGTGCCACTTACCTGTTGGGAACTTCAAACCCAATCCGCTGAAGGAGGCAGCTTGGTCCCCGAGAGCACAGGGGGGTACTAACACACTGCAGCTCTGTCCTAACATCAAGTTTTATTTGCAGAGTGCAGGTACACTGACACAGGAGTGTATGGGGCCTTTTACTGGCAGCACAAGCTGCTGCAGTCTCAACCCCAGAGCTATCAGAGAGGTAAAAGCACATAGCCAACAAGCTCATTTCAAGCTGTTGAAATCATAGTTCCCCTCCTAGGGCTGAAATTTTGCTTCTTGTCTGTGAAAAGCGCTTGCAGCGGTGTCACAGCACACTGTCACCCCTGCAGAGCAGGAAGCCTTTGGTGGGCTCCGGGTTTAGAGCACTGCTCATATATTCATAAATCCTATTCAGACGAGCAGGATCAGCGTTCCCAAATGGCAGGATGGAAATGTGTTGGGAGGGGGAGAAGCACAAAATGTCACCACTTCCTGCTCCACTTCCCATCATCGACAAAGCAATTTTTTATGCAATTAAAAGTTGTGCCCAGAACCCCCAGATATGCATACACTTACCACACCTATACGCTCGTGGAGAAAGGAGTCTTTTCACAGGCAACAACAGACAGAGAGAGATTTCATTGAATGCCAGTTAAAAATACTTTTTCTGTACCCACTTTCCCATTGCCCTCTCCAAGGAAACTTCTGCATCCCGTTAACATTTTTAGCTTTTGTCAATAGTACTTTAAGCTTGACATTTTTATTTCCTCTTGAAAAGTGGAACTAGATGACTTAGCTCTTAAATTATTTCCCCATCAGTGATCTTTTTTAAGATCACTCTCTGAAGATCACCAGCGAGGGTTGCTGTTCTCACTGCTCTACTTCAGTAGGTGCTCATAAAATCACCCAAGAAACGTTCACGGTGAAGATGCCAGACCTTTGTGCTTTGACATTATCAACACAAAGGTGTTTCTTTTTTCAAACGGGCCAACGCGTTGCTATATCACAGCCAGGTTCTCTGCTGAGACAATCAGGTGAAACTGCATCAGAGGCAAGCAGTGATAAGAGTTGGATATTTCAAATTCAGCAAATGGGGAATACATTTTTTTAAATGATGGAAGTTTGACTTGCAAACTTTTCAAATGAAACTTCACAACTTTTGAAGCAACAGCTACCATGCACAAAGCAACCCCAATTAAAAGAATAAAGGTTTAGAAACCCAATGGATGAAACAAAACTTGTTGGGGGATCAAACAAAACACTTCAGGTTGACCCCAAACCAAACTTTTTGTCCGTCTTATCAGAAAAAAATACTGCAGATATGACTACTTTTGAATGACTCTGATTTTCCTTTTGTTTCGGTTCAGTCCGTGAACTAACAATTCCAGTCTTCCCTAGTTTTTTTTTTGTTATTGCTTAAGTCTGACAGGCAGAACAGATGAACAAGTGCCATGCAATTACAACAGCTAAATAAGGAGAAGTGTTAAAAGTATGCCTTCAAACATTAACCAAGAGCCTTACCTTGGCAATCTGGCCTTTTATGGTGCAATGGGAACCTTCACCACTGGAAAACTTAGGAGCCAGCCTACTACTAACCATTTGTATTGCAACATGGCCTTGCTCGAGACGGGAGCAGCACTTTGCTAGGTTTGAAGAGCACACATGTAATAAAATAATAGTTCATACCCCACAAAGCTCACAGGCTTAGCATGCGCAAGGCAAGAGAAGGCTAACGAAAACAAAAAAGTCAGGCCACAAAATGAAACGAAGTGGGGAGGCAATACGCAGTGCTCTCAGCACAGCAACAGCTTGACCAACATCAAGTCTTCTGTAGGCATCACAGCAGAGGCGATGTTATAACTGGTGTCAGGCTGTCAGGTGATTAACAGGTCAATTAGGAGCAATCCACAAAGAGCCAAATGAAGATGTACAAGGAAAGCAAAGTGCCTGGATTTGTTTTTTTTTAAACTCCAGTTTGCCTTAGGGGAGTCTTCTTTCCATGCTTGACTAAGGGAAACAGTTCAAGTCCTTCACTAACAAAAATTAAGCCCCCCAGATGCACAAGGTAGTTGCTCTTCTGTATGGATCTCACTGTATGCAATGGTGGTGTCCTGTGGTCTGGGAAATATTATGACCTGATAGCAGTGAAGCCTGAACACAGACACCTCATTACAGTCCTTTGGCTACCAACAGCCCTAGAGATAAGGGTTTTTTTGGGATATCTTTTACTGGATGAGCTGAGGAAGGGTACTTGATGTCTGAAAGCTTCTCCAGGTATATAGCTGGTTCAATAAATATCACACAAAAACCCTTCTCTCTCACTCTTGGACCATCATAGCTACAACACCACTCCAGCCCTACTGCCAATAGCTCCACGTTTAGCTTGTTTTGTCCCTCGCGGATGAAACTACTGGTCTCTCTGTGACCACCTGTTTTGTATTTAAAAACTGTGATCAGATATCCTGTTAGTCTTTCCCTCCTCTGGACAAAATGGTCCCAGTTTTTCCAATATGCCAGGCTGCCATCCCCTCTACTTGTGGGAGTTTCAGGGAAAAGAGCAGAAATTCATGATAGATATTTCTTGACCAGGTTCTGAGGAAGGTCATTTTGTATCTGAAATCTTGCCTTGCCTATCCTGATCCAACAAAAGATATCGTTTCACTTTGCCAATCCTGCCTCTTGCCTGTTCCTTGGACCATCCTGGCTACAACACCATGACAACACTGTGGAAGACATCAAAATCTGCTATTTCAAACAGAAAATTTACAGCGTGAAGAAAGAAAGAAGCCAAGGCACACAGCGACATCAACTTCCTAAGCTTCTGCAGGAAACAAAGCATCTTTCTCCGAGGACTTACCGTCCTCAACAACACTGCATGCCACATGGGGAGAAGATTTCTGGCAGTCCTTAATCTAGAAGACAAAGGCACGGCGTGATCTAATAGCTGGAAGCTAAGCCAACATCGGACCGGAAATAAGGCACATTTTAACAGTGAGGGTAATTAACCACTGGTGCAACTTACCACTTACCTACGGACGTGATGGTTTCTCTGACACCTGAGGTCTTTGCAGTAAGACTGGGGGGCTCTTTCAAAACGATGGTTCTCTGCCTTGTTGGAAGTCCACAGTGCTCCCTCTGGTCTTCAAACCGATGGGGAAGACACTGATCCTCCACAAGGCCCAGCAAAGAGCTCAGGAAGAGGGGGTGCTCGGATGGTCTAAGTCACCTGCGTGCCCAGGATCTATGTCTGCCGCTCACTGGCTACAGCTGGCACAGACCCCCAGCACCCTTATCCCATACAAACACCCCTGCTTTTCAGAGGCTTCCTTTAGCACCCATCCCTTTGGCCTAGCCTTCCCCCCAGTCTTTGCTGCAGACTTCATAGCACGTTCAATTAAAATCAGACTCCACAGAAACACTAAGCAAAGGAGCATGCAGCACTGGGCATGTCCTACAACCTGCTGCCGCTCGATCTCAGCTTTTCATGAGCAACCCACCCTGTGTTTATGGCTGCCTCTTGCTGCGTTCATATTAAATAGGATCTCTTGGGCCCAGAGACCTGCCTGTTGTTCCATTTATAGCACGCTGTGTTCACCTCTGGTGCTATACACAGAGTAAATAAAAAGCAGCCAACTTTGCCTTGAAAGGGCAGGGCTTCCCAGTGTCACTTGAAGCTACTAGGAGGACAGCACTCAGAGGTGAGCACATTTACCCAATTGCTCCCACATTTCCAAGTGTGGCAAGTTTGCTTTGAAGTGCCCCTGCTGACCACTGGATCTGCGTGTGTCAGCTGTTCAGTTTAGGCCTGGGACGTGCAAAACAAACCAGGTCTTTTCACATGAGCCAAACCTGGGGGATGTTCAGTCTGGACCCTGAATCAGGTGCCACGTGCTGTCAGGCCCCTCCTGTGGGTGGACGAGCATTTACAAATAAAACTACAACTGAGCAGACCCTAAAACCCTCAGACCTAAGCGCCACATGCATTTATTAAATGCATGAGGATGTCCTGCCTACCAAGGCTAAGCCATTTCAAAGGAGGTTTGTGCTGAAACTAAGTCAACACACAGACAAAGTACAATGTTTTATCTTGGTCCTCTCGCCTGCCTCCCTCCTTTTTAACTCTGCTCGCTCCTAAGTTATTTGCTAGCCTATAAACAGCAGAGTGACTGCCGAAGCCCAGGGGCCAGCAGCAGGATTAGGCCATTTAACACCACAAGGATGCTATCTATCATTACTGCATCATTATATTTTTAAAGACTCAAGTTTCCCCAACAGCAACAAAACATTAGGTAAAGAAAAAAAGAGGGCTGCTGTCTTGCTTTGATAAAGTCCTACCTCCCCGGTCAGGAGGGGGAAGAGCCAGGCAAACTCCCATTGAGGCAAGTCCCAGCCTCCTGACTCCTTTCTCCACTTGGGCTGATT